AGCCCGGGCTCCAGTCCTCCGATTCAGACGAGCCCTGATGGATCGATCATGTTCTGCCATGATGACAGGCTCGATAATGCGAGGTGGTGGTGTCGGTGGTGTAGGGATGACAGGTGATGAAGCCTGTCCTCTCTGTCGACGACTATGGGTTAGGGAAGGCCTAGGAGTTGTGGTTGGCTGCTTCCCTAACTTGACCTGCTTCCTGTTCTGTCGGCAGGTCTTCTCGATCTCCGGATCTAGTGGCAGTAAATTGCCGGTCGTCCTCCTAGGCATGCACGAGGAGGATAAACCTGAAAATTCTTCTGCACACTAACACCCAGATCAAAATAGTTCACTCACAAAAATCAATAAAAATAAGATATGGCAGTCCCCGGCAACGGCGCCAAAAACTTGATAGGGCAAAAGCATATAGCTTCAATTCCTATCTTGTAGTAAAACCGGAAAGTCCGGGTATCGTCTCTCAGGGACTGGTACAACCTTAATTTCTATCAATTCTATGGAGCAAACTATAAGTGAAAATGGTTTGGTTGATGAGATTATTAACTAATAGCAAAATAACTAAACTAATTAAGCAAATTAAAATGTCGGGTTTAATTCAATGGGAGAAAGCTCTGGGAGAAACACCGGGATTCACTACCTATCCTATCCAGATTAATTCACATATTCTAATCAGTTTAATCCAACTCTCTACAGCCAGGATATCACTACTGTGCTAGCTATCCCTGTCGGGAATTACTACGTACTAGATAATCAATTCAAATCCTACTGTCGTAGCTCAATGAATTAACTATATAGTCTGAAGATCGATATCCTATTTAAGACCGCATAGCACCTTATTTGATCCACTATCGCTTCGATAAGTTACTATGTCACATGAAATAGGTTCAGTTATTAGGGTTTCACTGTCGCTAATCACCTAATTAACAACTAATCAATATATTGGTGGCCAGTCAACACAAAGCATTAAGTAATTTCATGCAATAGAGATTGGAAGAAAAGAATCATAAATCAATCCATCAAATCAAGAAATAGCTACATCCTATGGTGTTTCCCCCAGAAATTGGGGTTTAGTTCATGATGAAATTAAGATAAATCGATAGGGTTTTGTTCATCATGTTCTAAATCAACAAAACACAACTAGTTCGGTTAAGAAAATCCAACCAACTAATCGCTCTCGTTGAACTCAGCTCAAACCTTGAAAAACTCGATCGAAATTCTCAATCACTCTGCTGTTCGCTGCTGCTTTTTGCCTGCGCCCTTTTGCCTTCTCACAAAGAGTTCCGCCCGCGTCCCAGAAAATATTTCACTCCTGGCCGCCTTTGCTTTTTCTTCCTCTCCCCCAAGAGATTCCGTTCCCAAAACCCAGCCGCTCCTCCAATCCCTTCCGCCAAGCTTCTCCCAAATATTAAGTTTCCCCCCCTTTTGGTCCAAGTCCCACCTCTCAATAGAGGCTCGACCCACACAAAAATATTCCTCCCTAGCCCATGTTATTAATCACCATCTAGCTAGGTTTAAAGCCCAGCTTTCGAGAAATGTTTGTCGGTGCAACGTCTTTTTCGTGTTTTCTTCACCTGTAATACATCAAACTCATAGCACTTGGCAGTAATGGTTTTTCAACCATTCTCGGGTTAAGAAGCCCTAAAATAGCACCAATTGGCTAGAACATACCACGGATAATCACATAAAGTCCAAGAATCCGATATATTAAAGCCGAATATCATCACTCAACAGATTTCGAAGTTCCTTCTTGATTATCTTCATAAATCATAGATGAATATGATCTTTCGCAGTTTGCAGTTGCAACAGGTAAAGTCAACACTAACTACAAAAGCAAGTAAACTAAAGGTTAAAAGAACATGGGATGTGGTAGTGGGTCTCGGTAGTTATAAACTAAAAAGGGGTAAAGGTGAGTTTTTATTTGATTTTTCAAAGGATTGGGTTATTTTTATTATTTTCATTATTGGGTTGTGGTGTGGGTTACTTTAAAATTAGCGTACTTATTTGATTTTACTTATTATAGGTGTGTCGCTCACACGTATTTGAGGAGTGTCGGAAGTACCAAATTAAAAAAAAATTGTACAAAAAATATATAGGTCCTTCACAAAATTTCCAAACGAGAATGTGTCGGACGACACACCCTGCCCTTTACTAGTTCCGCCCCTGCTCACCACCACCTTCTTCCCCCCGCAACAACCTCCAATCCAAACTCCTAACATTCGCCGACGCAAAGCCTCGCCACCATCTACACAGTAATCGAAAAATTAAGTCCACAATAACCTCGGACCCACTCAACATCAAAGCCTCATGGCCTCATGGGTCAACCCCGAAGTCTGAACCTACAACAACGTCTTCTGCGACAGCCCGCCTGACAATGCCTCGGCCACCACCGTCGCATCAATCAACTTCACTGGCTTCGACCTCTCCGCCCCTTCCCTAGGTGGATTCCTAGACCGGCTCGCCGACATCCCTTCCTCCTCTTCTTCTGATTTCCTTTCCTCCTTCTGCTATCGCAAGCTTGTCGGCACAATATTCTTGTACGTAGGATACGAGGCCACCAGCGGGAAGATGAATCAGACTTCTGATTTCTGCTCCCCTCGTGATTGCGAAAGTAACGACACACATATGGCCTCGAGTATCGTCGGCCATTACGTTTACCCTGATCTTCCAGGCGAAGTAGTGAGCAGCGATGTCTAGGAATTTGAAAGAGTTGGTGGTGATCTCGGCAAAGAAGGAGTGAGCGCGGCGGGGTGATATCGTGGGCAAAGGAGTGAGCGGCGACTGAGATTTCATGGGTGAATGAGTGAGTGGCGACGGCTAGAGATTTGGAAGAGTCGGCGGCGATCTTGCCGGAGAAAGAGTGAACAACGACTTCGAGCAGAGAAGAGAGAGAGAGGAGAATCGGAGGGAGCTCGTTCAGCCTTCACCGGCTAGGGAACGCGGCGACGAGAAGTGAGATCGAGAGGCGGCAGTGGCGAGATGCAGGGTCGATTGACTAGGATTTGTGAGATTGTAAATAAATTAAATTTTATTTGTCTTTTCAATAATTGGAAATTATGTGGAAAAATTAAAAACTATGTGGAAAATATGAAAATTATTTATTTTATTATTTTTTAATTATCATATCACACATTTAACGGTCAACTATAAGAGTTGATTGCCACGTAAGGAAAAGTTAATAGAATTGGATGGAGAGTGACCAAACTTGTAATGTTTAACTAATTTTAGTGACCACAAATGGAATTAAACATTTTTTGTGACTAAACGTGAACGTTTTTAGTAATCTTAGTGACCAAATTTGTAATTTACCCAGATCGCACAGTAAGAAAAAAGTAAAACACGATGATCAACAAGTTTCTGAACAAAAATGAGAAAGCATGTTTTGCCATGATATGGACAACCCCTTTCTTTTCTTAGTGGTTATTATTATTTATCTTTTTATTTTCTTAATTAATTATTTATTAGTAGTGGCTCAGTGTTATGAATAATTATATCCAAAAATGACCGTTATGTTATTCCTCATATGAATGCAATTAATTTTGTAGTTACTCCGGATTATTTTTCTCGTAGTTTATCAATCATCATACATAATAGAATAGTTAATATCTAACCACGCAATAGACGAATCATTAATAATTTAATATCTTTTGATGCTTTTTTTTTTTTTTTTTGTAACTTTTGATGCTTTTTAATTATAGGGTCACATAGTTCTATCTTTAGTTCATAATAGTGCTTTGGCATCCACACAGACCACAGTCATAACATTTCACCTTTAGTAGCTCAATTATTCGCGTTCATAGAGTTGCTGTAGACTGCCACGGAAACCCAGATGCTCTCTCCAACAAATTACTGATATTATATTCCAATCAGCTTGTCCGGTCCGGCCATAAAGGCTGAAGCTAAAACAGTAAAACCTAAAAAGAAAAGGTAACCACTATACCGAGATTTTTCCAGAAATAGCCATGTTTAAAAAAAAAATTCAAAAATAGCATCCAACCCCGAAAAAATAAAAAAATAGCACCCTTTCCCAAAAATTGTCATCTAAACCAGCGGTTTTCGATGAAAACTGCACGGGTAGGGGGCGGTTTTGCTGACCGCATGGGGTCGGGGCGGTTTGGTTGCAAACCGCAACCCCACCCGACAGTTATGATATATATTTTTTTTTCCGAATAAATGTCATAATTGGTGGGTAAAATACCTCGGGTGCCATTTAAGTTTGAGAATTGGGGTAGACATACCACTTAACTTTGAATACGGCGTCGGGTACCACTGAAATCTATCATATGTGCATTCCGTACCACTTAAGTTTACTGTTAAGTGCATTCCTTTAAAGTTAACAAAATATTCTTGGAATATTTCATTTTCTAAATTTCATAATTGTCCTTCTACTTTTCTTATTGTAAAAAAATTCATTTGGACTTATGAAAAATATCATTTTTATTGTTTAGTTAGAATCATTTTTTGAATACTTGATACCAAACCAATGTTATGTGTTGTACATATTTTTATAACATGAGTATTAATCTTGTGATTACTTGCATCAAAGAGATTTTATTATATTTGTTAACAATTCAAATTATTACAGTTTGATCTCTTAGGTTGCATGATTAAATATTAATTCTAGTTAGAGGTGGCAAATGGATTTGTGGATTGTGATTGATGGATCCATTGATCAAGTAGATTGGACCAAAATGTAAATTTTAAAAGGTTTAGGTACTAAAATGTCATAATTAGAAAAATTCAGATACCAAAACTTAATTTTCCAATGACATTTTTCGTATAAAAATAAATTTAGGTACCAAAATGTAAAGTATAAAAAGATTAGGTACTAAAACGTAATTTATCATTTGGATCAAATGGATTGGATTTAAATGGATTGGATTAGTTGGATATTTAAGTGGATGGATGGATTGAGAATTGACACCTCTAATTCTGGTGATTCATATACATGTTTTGTTATAATTAATAGCATCAAATATACATTATCCTATTGGTTGAACACTTGAAATGATAATAGCTTGAACTCATAGGTCATAGGTTTAAATCTAGGTCATGATGATTGGTATACATGTTTATTTAGTTTTATTTTAATGTAATTAATAACTTAAAATGTTAAAATCATAAATGACATGGAAAATGTGGAGCTTTCTTTGTCCTATGTGGCAAAAAATTTCTCCACAACGACCATAATATAAGTAAAATAAACAAGGTTTCATACAATGGCCGCACTTTAATCTAGAAGTGGCCATATCGGGTGGACGGATGGGGAAGGCGGGCTTAGGCTTTATATAATTACTCAATGAGCTTGAACCGGTTAACAAGGAAAAGAGGAAGGGAGACCGGAGTGGGCCTCCACCTAGAGTAGAAAGAAAGATGGAGTAATAAAGGAGATCGAGATGCTCGATGTTCTCTCCTAGGGATGATGGATGCCATTACTGTGGAACTTTTGGCGGTCCGGTATGCTTTGTTACTCCTTTGCCGTTGGGGATGACATGATCGTCCAGTTTTTGTTGCCGACGATGCTCAAGTAATGTTGGATAGGTTGAGGTCCCACAATCCTCATGATGCTCGTTGTGGCGCCATTTACCGTGAAGTGCTTGATCTCATTAGCCATCTTCCCTTAGTTCATTTTGCTTATACACCTCGAGAAGTGAATCAGGCTGCCCATTGTGTGGTGCGCAATGCCCTATGTTATCCGGTATTAGTAATCTCTTTTATGATTATTCGTACATGGTCTATCTTTGAGTCCGTGTAGGGCCGTAATTGTTGTGGTTCCACACGCTATTCTGGTTAATCCGCAAGGATTTCTATGACAAAAAAAAAAAGAGATCGAGATGGGTTTATTTTATTCCTTGGGTCGGACTGCTAGCCCTCTCTACCGTGGCCCACGATGGGCTTAAAAGGAATAAGAGGAAGTCGGGCCATTGATATAGCATGGTCCATGAAACCGTACCATACCGGCGGTTTAACCACGAAATACAAATATTGGAGGCTAAATTGGTAGGTGGTATTTAACGGTAAGAACGGTTGAATTACGGCTAAATCACGGTTTTACCATAAAATACCCTACCGCTGACTTTCCGGTGCGGTATCCGGCATGGTTTCATGGACCATGTGATATAGCCCAGATGAAAAGAGAGCTTGCACGTTGTTTCGTACCTACTTTGTGTTAGAAAGTAGTTAGATATCAAATAGGGTTATAGGTATAATATGCCTCTCTACTATGTCGTTTTATCAAACATGTCCCTCTACTATTTTTTACATCAAACATGCTCCTCTACTATTTTTTTACATCAAACATGCCCCTATACTTTAGAAAAATGATCAAACATACCATTTTGTTAATATTTTCATCCAAAAACAGTCAACCACGGTCGTACCTTGGTTTGGGCGACACAAATGTCTAAAATATCCCTGGTAATTTCACTTTAGAATTTTTTGGATTCTTTTGTAGAGCCAATTACCTCTAATAATTTCATTTTAACGAGACCTAGAAAAATAAAATAGGGTACAAAACTGGTAATTTCACTTTAACGAGCCAATTACCTCAAATCCCAATACTTGTCTATTTTCTATACAAAATAACATGCTTAAGTTAAGGGTAGACAAATCTCAGAAGCTGGGCTGATTGCTTTTGAACTTCTCGATAGCCGTAAGAGAAGTAGAAAGGCGGGTCTTATGTTTAAACTTGACATCGAGAAGGCATTTGACAACGTGAGCTAGGGCTGCCTATTTAAGGCCTTGTATGTGTTGGGTTTTCCTTAGAAATAGCATTCGTGGCTTCGCGGGGTCATGTGCTCCCCAGTTATCTCGATTTTAATCAATGATGAAGCGAAAGGGTTCTTCAATTCGCAGAAGGGGCTCCGGCAAGGCGATCCGCTTTCTCCTTGTCTTTTTACCCTCATCATGGATGTGCTCTCTTTCATGTTGGAGAAGATGTGCATGGCTGGTAACATCTCTGGTTTCTGTATGGATGAGACTAACATGGTGGGAGAAGTGACTCACCTTCTTTTTGCTGACGACACGTTAATTTTTTGTGAAGCCTCTTATGATCAGGTCTTGAACATTCTTGCTGCCCTTGTATGTTTTCAAGCTGTTACAGGTCTTAAGATCAACATCGAGAAATCAGTGATGATCACTATCGGTGATGTACCAAACCCTGAATTTTTCGCCGCTGTATTTGGTTGTAAGTGGAGCAAAGAGCCGTCAAATTATCTCGGGTTCCCTCTTGGTGCTAAAGTGAATGCAATATCGACTTGGGACCCGGTTATTAGCAAATTTCAGAAGCGGCTCGAGGGGTGGAGAGGTCGCTACTTATCTCTTGGAGGGAGGCTGGTTCTTAATAAGGCTATTTTGTCTGGGCAGCCAGTTTACTCGTTCTCCCTTCTACGTGCTCCTGCAGCTGTGGTTAATAGGACAGAGTATACAGAGAAGGTTTGTGTGGAGTGGTACAGGAGACAAGGCTAAAAGTCCCCTGGTTAATTGGGATTTGTGTAAAGCATCGAAGTTCAATGGAGGTATGTGGATTAGAGACATCAGTTGTTTCAACAGGGCCCTGCTTTCGAAATGGTTGTGGAAATTCTCCGTTGAAAGAGGAAGTTGGTGGAGCGAATTGATTGCAGTGAAATATCCGTCTGGAGTTTCGGGTTGGCAAAGCCAGCGCTGTCGGGGTGGGTTTGGTGGATCAGTTTGGCGAATATTACGAAAGGGTATAATAGCTTTCATTCCGAGCAAGATCTGTGCTTTCTTGTGGTTAGTAGCTCACAAGAGAGTGTTGACGCTGGACAATCTGCAAAAAAGAGGTTTGGTGCTGGCCAACAGGTGTGTTCTTTGCGGCAGACAAGAGGAATCGGTTGACCATCTGTTCATTCATTGCGCGTTCACTATAAGTGTTTGGAAGGAGGTTGCTATGGCTTGCCGAGGTATTAGTCTTCCGAGCGGTGATGTTGCGGGTACTATCAACAGGTGGAACATGGCTTGTCTGAGCAACATCAACGAGTGGATTGTTGCCTGTATCTTTCATGGTGTTTGCTGGCAAGTATGGCTCGAGTGGAACCAGCGTACCTTCAACGACATCATTCATAGTACCAGCTATGTGTTCCAGAGAGCAATCAGGTCGGCGGTCGAGTGGATTGTCGCTCATGGGAAAGTCAGCAAAGCGCAGGGAGTTGAATGGCTCTCTGAGCATCTAGGGCGTCGGACTAATTAGTAGGACGAGTTATTTCTTTTGTTTGGGCGTATGTTTTGCGTTGAGTTGGATGTTTCTGTTTCTTGATTTGTCGGGTTTTCTGGGCAGGCAGTGGTGGGTTCCCCTGCCTTGCGAAGAAAGCTACAAGCCTCGCCCCGAGAGTGTGGTGGATCCGCTCTCGGAGGCATCCCGACCCAAGTCGTGATCAATCCCCAACCGTCAAGCTAATAACGATAAATTAACGCTTGTTGGGAGGCAACCCATCGAAAGTTTGTTTTCTTTTCCTTATTTTTTCGTTTTAAGTGTCTTGTGAAGAGTTCAAGTGGTCAAGTTGTGTCCCCGTTCGAAGTTTGTGGTTTTGCGATTTATGTTTGTGTTGTGATCAATAAGGAGGCATGGAGGAATAGGTTGAGTCAAAATTTTATCAGAAGTGCCCTGTTTTCACTAATGTTCATGGGTGGATTGCTGAGTTCACGGTCTTACAAGACCGTGAACATGCAAACGCGTCCGTGAACTGGCCATTTGTGCATGATCACCACCTGTCGACCACTCCGTGTTCACGGACGCATTTGAGAGTTCACGACCGCTAAATCCGTGAACTGCGCAACGCGTCCGTGAACTCCGAGTCATGCCTATAAAAGGGGCGTGAACGGCGACCCTTCACTTCATGACCAATTCTCGCGGAAAATTCCAAATCTTCACGGGAAAACCACGAAACTCCGTTGGTTTTTCGATTTTTCCCCATTTTCGGCGAGCAAAACCCAAAACAAACGGCAAACCTAGCCTCCCCTCCTCAAAACGGCCTGTGCTGAAATTTTGGGGAGATTTGGAGCACATTTTTCTGGCCAAGTCACTGGCGGCGAGTCTCCAACGAGCTTCCGACGAAGCTCCGGCGACCCCTCTGCGGTAAGTTTTTTTGTCGTTTTTCGCCCTCCTCGCCCGCACCTCACTTCCTCCTACGTCCTACTTGCGTCTCCAAATTTGTTTTTTCGACTTTACCTTAGTGATTTGTGGAGAATCAAATTAGGTAGTGAAGTAAGGTTGAATTTTTGTGCTTTGCATGATTGAATCTAGATTTAGGGCGAGGAATTAGGTGAATTAGGTCGATTGAATGATGGATTGACTTTTGCTTGAGCTTAATGAGCCTTGGTGGGCGTGTTTGAACCGAATTGTGTTTATTTTTAGAATTTGCCCACCAAGTGCTATGTTATGAATTCAAGTGGAGTTTATTCTTGTTTGGTGGATGGTAGCCACCATGGTTTGGGTTGTGGTTCAACTTTTTGTGTGCTTGAACTGTGAACTACCCACAACCATGCCACAGGGAGCTTGAGCTTAAATGTTTTTATCCATAGTGGAAAGATAAGTGTGGGGGAATTTCTTTTCCTCCCAATGAGCATTATTTGATGACTGTTACCACGTATGGTGTATGTCTCTTAGTTTGTTTAGGATGGTTAACATGGACCACCCATACCTTGTGGCGCTAAAGAGAAGCCCTGAAATGGAAAGAGAGGCGTGTTTTTGGGCATCTTCAAGATTCGGTAACCACTAAAAACTCAACTTTGCCCAGTTCGACAAGCTTCTTTGCGATGATGTTATGAGGGAGGTAGTGGTGCACCCATACTGGCGCCAAGCCCTTGATCTTAAAGATGACACTTATGGGGAACTATGCGTCGAGTTTTTCAACACCTTCACCATACGCAAGAGCATATGCCTACTCGATCGTCCAGTACGCCGGGTCGAGTTCCGATTGGGAGGGGAACTTCGCAATTTGAGCTACGACGATTTAACTAGAGCCCTCGGACTGGAAGCCAAACATGATGACGATTGGGAGGAAGGCGCCATCCAAAGTTTTGACGTCAGTGCCGCATTTATGAAGTGTTGCCTCCCGAGTACTGAAGGACAATGTTTAAATCGGCCCTCACAAAGACATCCACACTCAAACCCCAGTGGCGTGTCATCGTAGCCCTCCTGGATCTTTCCCTCTACCCGGCTTACCACAACCCGAACTAGAAAACCGAGAGAATCTTATTGCCATGTTCTTACAAGGTGTACCCGTCTAGCACTCAACACCTGGGTTCAGTCATATCCACTTCTTTTTCCAGGTCCAAAGGGGGAAACCGTCATTATGTCACTTCAATGGGTCCCTACATCACCCGCCTAGCTCGACACTTCAATGTCAGCCTTGCAGGGTATTCGAAGTAAGGGCGCAACCAGAGATTTAACGAGGGTACTCTGAACGCCATGCACTTATTGCGCACCTTTGGCCCAATGCGTTTGACACGCTAAAAAACAACACCAAACTACGACCAAGTGTAATCGCAGTCCGGGAATGCAGTAAAGTGGCAAGTTCTATTATAAACTCGGGGTCTAGATCTACTGCCTACTCCGTGATTATCTATTATCTAGCCAACTAAGTCGATTGATTGTTGTTTTAACTAAAAGCAGAAATCAGGAATTGGTACGGTTTTCTCAAGCAAAGAAGAGTCACTCGTGAATGAGTCCCCCTAGCTCCTTAGTTAGGTCTCAATTGTAATTACCCTAGGTTGATTTACTGTTGATTAGACTGTGGAAGATCCGACAGTAGCTTGGAATCTCTTAAGCTGACCAAACCCTCTCAGAAATCAAGAAAAGCTAATCAGACTTCAATCAATTCAATAAAACATGCATCATTCGATTAAAACCAAATAGTATAATTATCCCAAGTCATTACAATCAAATCCCTAACACATGGAACTAGGGTTCTTCATACCCAAGTGAGAGAAGGGTTCTACTCCATAGAGAGAGAGGAAAACAGAAATCAGAGTAGTCATACTCATAAAGATGAGGAAAATCTGCTCTGGGATGTCAATCTTCACTTCTGGAGACGCAATCTGGGCTTCAATGGTGAGAAATCCACTCCAAATAGCTCCTAGGGTTTGTTCTTCGTCCTTTCTCTCTCTCTAAAAGTCTGTTTTTACTCTGAAAAATCGATTCTCTCACTTGTGGCCCAAAATTGGGTAAAAACCAGAATTCCCGACTCACACGGGCAGGCCACACGGCCGTGTGGCATACCCAGATGCCCGTGTGAAGTCAAAACGCGGCGTTTCAAATAATTGCACTTCAGGCTACCTACACGGCCAGGGACACACGGCCGTGTGGCTCACCCAGTCTGCCCGTGTGAAGCCTCGCATAATCCCACACGGCCACATCGCTCCTTCACACGGCCGTGTGGGTTTTATTCCTGCCCGTGTGGCTTCCTCAGCGACCCGCCGCACGTCTGATCTTCGTGCAATCGACTCCGAACTCGCTCCCAAACCTTCATTCACGTACTAGGACCTGAAATATCACAAACAAGAACAACCTAGCGTGAAATTGGCCTAAAACACGAGAATCAACACCTCAAACGGCTCCAGAATAGGGGCAAAAACATGTGCAATTAACGGTTTATCAAACTCCCCCACACTTAACCGATTGCTTGTCCCCAAGCAAACCAAGTCTGACACAAGGTAAGCTCACATATTTCAATCATACCAACATTGGGGACAAATCATATAGGCACAGAACACGTGAATCATACTGGCTTTCAAACATCAGCACATAAACAACTTTAATAGCAACCTGGACAACCACCACAGAAGACATTCGAGTGCAGCAAAATCGAATAAAGGAGGAGTCTCCCTTCTGTTCATCAACCAACATAGACTTGACTCAACCACTTACTCAAGACAGTCAACTCATGCATAAAACTCAAGACATCAGAATCAAGACCGAGCCATCTAGGTCCTCACCGGGGTAAAGAGTGTAAAGAACAAGGAAATGAATCACTCACTCTCGACCAGTGGGGTCAGGACAATTTGATGCGAAAAATGCGCATACTTATTCTCTCAATTCCTAACATCTCTTCACCATGACGGCAACCTCTAAATGTTAGAGTTCACAAAAATGGGTGTCATCACTAACCAATCCGGAGGTCTTAGACACAGGTTCAAATGACTGGCTAGGATCTTGGACATGGGGAAAAGGCCTTTTAAGTGGTGGAAGTATTCATAGCACAAGGTTCCACATTTTCAAACCCAACAAACTCGCAATCAATCAAACCAGTAACTTTCTTTCTTTCTGCTATTCTGCATTACTCAAATTCTCTAGAGCACAAGAGCGAAGGAGGTCACATAAATGCTTAGTATTTCCAAGCCAGACTGCTAAGAAACACTACTTAAAGGGCACTATTTAGATTTTTTATGGTGGCTCTCTTTTGCTTTCATTTTTTTTCTTTGTTTTTCTTTCATTTTTTTCATTTCTTAAGAGAACCACCACCTCTGCACATTTTTCAAACACCTGCCCAACTTTTTAAGAACTACCTCCAACTCTCACATGATGTTTAACAGAAGCAGCAGAGAACATGCAAAAACCACTATGTGGAACCTTCTAAAAGATGCAAAAGGGTGATTTTTCATTAAGACCGAAAGAAAGGATAACACACGGCTCAAAGGGGCTGACTAGGGGGTATGACACACCAGGACAGTCAATTTGGTCGTGGGCTAATCCTATGCCTCCATCATCTTAGCTAATGACAACGTGAATGCTACACATCATGGAAGAGGGAACTATCGCACAAGAAAGAAACGAGCAGGCTCAAATCTCACATGGATACCTATATGCTCTATCTCTCATTATGATTCCCTGAACTAGATGCATAACCGACTGTCAAGAACAAGTGATCAATCCAAGTCACAGTTGGTAAGCAAACAGTTGAAAAACCAAACCCCTATACAATTCTACTGCACGTCTCAGTCATCATTATTGGTTGTCCTAGTCACACCTCAGCTGTCATGCATTAAGTCGAAAGCCATTCAATTCACCAATCAAAACACAATGCCAATATGATCAAACAGTCGTACTTGGAGCCCTCAAATCTCGAGATTTGGACAGTGGACTAGGCTCCAAGCACACGTATATAGATTCCAACCAATACAAAGCACCCCCCCCCCCACACACTTAAGCACGACATTGCCCTCAATGGAGCATAGAGAGAGATAAGGGGAACGATGTTACCGGATTGAAAAAAATGCGGGAGACTGGTAGTGGACCAGTCGGCGGGGAACATATGGAACGAACGGGCAGTTCTGCATGAAGGGAATAACAAGAACACACTAGCACACTGTGCGTTAGGGATCAAAGTTGGCCCACTTGGCCACAAAATAAATAATCCACAAAAGAAAACCAAAAGGACAAAAACAAACGACAGACTCAGTTCACGCTCCTCAAACACATGGAGCAAACATAAAAAGTCTAAAAAAAACACACACTGAGGGGCGACAAGTATAGCCTACTTGTTGCCAAGGTTGTCGAAGTCTATGTCGTCCATGAAAGCATCATCATCATCAGCTGGTGGAGGTGGAAGTGGAGAGTCCTCCCAGGGAGTCCTCCAGACTGGTTGCTCGCCCGGTAGTAGCTGGAGCAGGTGCTGCTGAACCTCCTGCATACGCCGAGATCGGGCCTGCTCCCTCTCGATGCGAGCTAGGGTCACTCCCTGTTGGGTCTCCATCCGATCGAGACGCTCATCATACGCAGCCATCCGAGTCTGGTACTCGGCATGGTGAGCCGAATACTGCTGGTGGAACTGGAGCTGATGGTCGTAGAGCTGCTGATTCTGGAGACGCAGCTGCTCGAACTGCTGAGTGAAGTAGTCCTGGCCGGGGAAAGTGGAACTGCCACCTCCGTACTCGAAGGTGGTGGGGCGGGCGGCAGCAGTGTCATCCACATCCTCGGGATGGACCTCCTCATCAGCCGCATCCTCAGGAACCTCCGGCTGGTCCTCCGCTGGGATCGGAGGTTGAGGAAACCCCTCGATCCACTTAACCCCTCGCTCTTCTCAAAGCAGGTGCATGCAACTTATCGTAAATGCGCCAAAGACACTGGTGTCCCCCTGCTCTGTGCACCCCTGCAGTGATATCTGGAAGTGGGCGGCCAGGCGGGTGATGAGGGGAGTGCAGTGGAGTTTCTTAAGCTCTGAAGCACTCTTGTCGAAGGTCCTAGACACCACAGAACCCAAGTGGAGAATATGATCCTCCTGGCGCATGGACTGGATGAAGTACATGGCTCTCCGGGTGATGGCACTGGCATTGTCCGAGGCCGGGGTGTATGACTTTGTCAGCAAGTGGTGGAGAATGCGGTTGTCGAGCTGCAAGGTGCTGGCCTTCGTCCTGAAGTCCACCCCCTCTGGCTCGGTGAGTTCGGTGATGTAATCCTCATCATTGGCCAGACCGAGGCCGAGGGCGATCGCCAGCTCGTGGTAGCTCATGGATCGGGGTTCACCGACGAGCCTGAACTGGACGGCTTCTCCGTCCTTCCAATCCTCCATGTCTGCATGCTTGAATGTCGTGTAGAACTCAAGCACGAGCTCGTGGTAGACCTTCTCGCAAATGCAAAGTAGACGGCGCCAGCGGCGGTTGGTGACAATAGCGGAGAAGTTCTCGTAGCAGTTCAGCGTCTCAAACTCCTGCTTGGACCAGCAATGATGCTGCCCAAACTTGCAGGCCAGGATGCTCTTACAACGATCCTGGTGGGGGCCCCTCCTCAAATCTCGAATAAACGGGTGCTTGAGGTCGGGCTTCGTCATGGTCCTGCAAAAGAACAACCCAAAGTGGAACCAAAAGAGCCAAGGAAATGGTTAATCACACCCCCACACTTAAGAACAGAAAACAGCCGAACCATGGTTTCATCCATAGTTCGGGGGTCAAAAACTCGATCAATCAAGCATAATCGGGGTGGGGTGCACATCTGTGAAAAAGTAGGCAACTCAAGGTTCACATCCATAGCAAACACACCCTCAAAGCACAACATTAAGGGCCCCAACCGGTGCTCACAACATGGCATGAAAAACAGGCATTTCATCGAACACCTTGTGTGCACTATTAAGGTAAACATGGAATTGACAAAATTCTTGCACACAAGGGCTCAAACAAGCAAGGGGTACATTGCCCAACACAATTCATACATAATCCAAGCATTCCCCTCAATCAATTGCACACAATTCACATGATTCAAAGTGGTTCTCTAAACATGCACCCTAACACCCAATTCTCCATAAATAATATAGTTAAGGTCAAAATCAAACCTAGAGACTCAAGTAGATGTGTAGGGGATGATGAGGGGAAAGCAATGGAAGCGACGAAAATGCCAAAATCTGCCCGGAAGTGCTCGTCGGAGCCTCACCGAAGTCTCGCCGTAAATCGCCTCCGGCGACTCAAAATCAATCCAAATCACCTCAAAATCGAGGGATAGGCCGATAATGGGGAGGAAAGGGTGGGTGTGGTGTTGGATTTGTGAAAAACCGACCAAAAATGGCCGAAAATCGACAAAGAGGGCGAAAAGTCGCGGTTTTCCGGCGAGGGGGAGAGGATTCCGACGAGTGAAGTTTGAATTTCTGACCACTCGGCAGTGTAGAAATTGTCGAGAACTCACACGGCCGTGTCACTGTCAGGACTGGCCGTGTGGGCTGCCAGAACTCCGAATTTGACCTGTTTTCACTCAAAAATGACATACGACTCGAGAACAACACCTCAAGACTCAAAAACACAAAAAAGGAAAAGGAAAAGGGTAAGAAAATGCTAACCTAGGTGGGGTTGCCACCCTATAAGCGCTTCTTTACCGTCTTTTAGCTGGACGCCAGTAGAGGAACTAAGGGTCCTCGAGCTTGATCAGCAGCTCTGCGCGCTCGATAGCACCTCCCAAGTACAACTTTAGGAGGTGGCCATTCACCTTGAATGGCTCAGTTTGAGCATTTCTGATCTCCACCGCACCGTGCGGGAAAACTTGGGTGACCGTGAAGGGTCCCGACCACCTCGAACGTAGCTTGCCCGGGAAGAGTTTCAGGCGTGCATTGAAGAGCAGAACATGATCACCTACCTGAAACTCCTTCGGGCCGCTTAACCGAGCATCGTGGAGACGTTTGGTTCGCTCTTTGTAGAGCAGGGTGTTCTCGTAGGCGTGGTAACGCCATTCCTCCAACTCCAGCAGCTGCAACTTACGTTCAGTACCTTGTGCTCTAGCTCTACTGGCAGATGACACGCCTTCCCATAGACAAGCCTATAGAGAGAGGTGCCAATCGGTTTTTTATAGGCCGTCCTATATGACCAAAGAGCATCATGAGCTTGGTGGACCAATCCTTGCGGGACTAATCCACCGTCTTTTCAATTATCCGTTTAAGCTCCCGGTTCGTCAGCTCGGCTTGCCCATTTGACTGGGGGTGGTAAGCCACCGATACCTGATGCTTAACACCATAGCGAGAGAGGAGTTTAGTGAATTGCCCTTGAAAATGGGTTCCTCTATCACTAATGATGGCGCGGGGTGTCTCGAACCGGGAGAACAACTACTTCAGAAATGAGCATACCCGTCTTGCATCATTGG